TGATGTCAATAAGCCCTTTCATTGAATTTGATTTCACTCTACTTCTTCCGGAGGCAATGTGGGACTCTTAGAGCACATATTAATATTATGAAGCTCCTTCATCCGGTCAACAGGATCACACAAGCCTGTAATAAGCAATGGGGGGAAAATGTGTGAATCCATCTTAGGGCACTTCAAGGGTATAAAGAATGATATGCTCACAATAAGAGTAGTTGCTATAACACACAAGCACACAAGTCTGAAAAATCACACGCATCCGCTCAAGGATGTGGGGGGGGGCGCACACACAGAGCAACGACCAACATTAGAAAAATACTGCATTAATATGTCAACTTCCCATAAGCATTAAGTACAGTTGTAAGGAACAGCTTTTTTAAGGAACTGTTTTTCATTACTCAGAAGGTTTATACACATCGATCATGCCATGGTTTATTTCAAGGGCCAACATTCTTGATTGCATCCACCTAAAGAAATGTATAACTGTGACTTCAGTGGTCACAACTATCAACCATGAAATATAACATGTCCGAAAAAAAAAATAATAGTGTAGAGTTGAATGTTGTGAAGCATATAGAGCACAATATTGAGACCAAGTTCACAAATAAGCTATGATATGTGATATGTGGCCACAGAAAAATATGTTGTGCTACACAGCTATCTATATGCATATCTCTGTGAGCGTGCACATGCATGGGCACGGAGGCATGAGCAGGCATGGGTCCGTGTGGCGTGTGCACATTGGAGAATTCTTGTGTGCGTGTGTTGGTGTGGGAGTGTGCATGTGTGTAAGATAAAAAAGAACCTAAGTTTAGTATGATGATGTGTAAGATAGTACTGTTCAAACAGGACAAATAATTACGTGCTATACATATTGTTGAGATAAAATATTGTTTACACTGTACATTTGCGTCCCCAGTGTTATACTGTTACATTTAATTGGCACACAAATGGACGTGTGTCAGGGCCTGGTGTATCAGATACACATATTCATTTGAGACGAGCATTCTTCATAAGGCAACAAATAAGAAAAGTATCACAAAGGTTGAAGTTTCATCCGATATATATTTGCAGTATGCATCAATTTAGTAAATTTTCCTAAATAAAATCTTTAAATTTCCAAATTCTAGTATCTTATTTTACACCTAAGCTGGACAAATTGCCAGAGCCCAACACTGATGTCTAGGAGCAGATAAAATTAATTGCCACTTCAGCTGACTTGCTGCCTTCGAGCTAACTTAAAACTGGTTAAGCTGATCAAGTATCTGTAACCACCGGGCTATTTTACTTGATTAGAGTGGTCAGAGGGTGTTCAATAGAATAGTTCGAATTTAACTTTCAATACCGAACAGAATGAAATTGTTAAAACTTGACAGAAAACCCATGTTATCTCTAATGCATAAAATAACACCAAAAAACACGTTTTATCCGCATTATGTTAAGCGTTATTTAACACTTGCTAAATGGAGTTTAATTGATGATTAGATTTGGACGTGTGGCAATATCTTCACTTTTCAAATCAGTATCACGCTAACCAAAATAAGTTCCCAATTGAATCCTCCAACCCCAATTTCATTTGCATGAAAAACCCTAGCGATCCCCTGACCCATCTCCAACGCCTCCCTCATTTCCTCGCCCTCCACCTCGTCCTCTCACTCTTTCGACAAAGAAACCTCTCAGTTTCTTCTTCCTCTCGTGCCTTCGACGAAGATGAAGCTCTCGTTGATGACAACGCTCTTCTCGTCCTCTATCTCCGCCGACTACAAGCCTCCTCTCTAGTTCATTGGCTCCCATATCTCCTTTCACTGACGAAGAAGATCCTAACCCCGTCTCCACCTCTAATGCCTCTAATGCTTCTAAATCCTAATTCCTTTCGACGAAGACTTTGCCTTCTAAACCCTAACCCCTGTAACTCTTCTAGTCCTCCTTCATGCTTAAAACTTTGAGTGTTCTAATTATTAAAGTCATTGTGAATAGTTTGTATTTATAAAATATCTAAAAACTTAATTAAAAAAACCTCCGCTATGCGTTACATTTTTTGCATTTTCCCCCTTAACACTTAACAAAAGGTAGAACATTACGTTATGCGTTATTGTTATTTTTAACATTGACCAAACCCTCATCATATTATTAATTTCCTTACCTGAACATCTTGGCATATCCCACACTGCAATAGATGAGAGAGTGCATTTTGTATGACACATCGCGCGATTATCTTCATGATTCACATTCATAGAAAGCATCCATGAGCCAACAGTGACATCCTCGTTGTTGAACATCCTCAGGCTGAAATAATAAAATCAATGATGAAGTCATTAAAGAGTGCAAACATGCACTATAAACCTTTATGAAAAATAAGATTCAATAGTAAGCAGCATTTTACTTTTATGAATGGTGATCCATACAATGTACAGAAGGAATATGTACATGTTTAAGTACTAACTACTACAAGAAGGTTAAAAACATGCAGGAAAACCAGGGTCAAATAATTTCTAGAAAGAGTGCTGTGACCAACTATCCCTGCACTGAGTCTGCTATCTCGTCAGAAATCCTGAGATATGAGAGAAAAGAAGAAAACCAATACAAAAGTTATCGTATGAAATCAAGCCTACTGCAAATATATGGCTTGTATGGTGAGAGATCTGGCTATACCCTAATGGGTTAAATTAGATCAATTTGTGCTAGACAACACAATTAAAACAAATTAGCATTTAATGCCATGCTTTTATGTATTCATCTTCGCTAGTTTCCTAAAATATATAATAGTATGAAAATCATACAACCTAAAAGCATCTAAATGAAGGCCCAGTTTGATTATCACAGCAGTGACCATCAGATCTAAACCTCATTATGATATAGAAGACCTAGAGTTTTCATCTTTATTTTGGGAGAGAGAGCCATGGGCGGCTTACATAACAAGGAAGATATAATACTATAAAGGGAACTAGGAAAAAGAACTTCCAAAATGGGAGCACTAGTTATAATACTGTGGCACTACATTTTAATTTGAAAGCCCTCATAAACTGCAGATGAAGGATTCAAGGCCACAACCTATTAAAAGGAAAGTAAGTGTCATACCCTGTGTTAACTTGTTCACTAGGAACTAGAGGCAATGACCCTACCCATTTAATCGACACAACTGATGACTTCTATATATGGTAAATTTATAGTACTATCTACTTGTAGGGATACTGTAATCAACATCATGCATCCAAGCTTTTTCGGGGGGGGGGGGGGGGGGAGAACTCAACAGCTTGAAGAATAATTTCTTGAATCAATAAGCTAGGGGGAAAACATGAGAAGGAAAGAACAACCAAGTTTTTTCCACCAGATTTCAAAACCGATGTCCACCATAATATGAATAAGAGGAAGACATTTTCACAAACGAGACTATGAGGAAGGATTACTTGACAACGCAGTACAACATGCTTTTTGTGGGCGGGAGGGGGGGGGGAGGGGGGTGGCTTCATATGGACCACGGATACAGAATAAAGAAAATTGGTGCTTTCACTTTGCACAAACTAAAGATAATTGGAGTGCTGATTCAATTTACATAATACAATGAAGGTCACACAATCTCAAAGGAGGACACAAGTGCATGAACCATGCTAATCTGTGAACGATTTCCTAAACACATAGAGACATGGTTGGGTAGCTTGCTATCTTGAATGTCATCAAATAGATCTCAATTAAGGTTGCTGTCTTGAGTATTAAAGGAATTAACTTCAGTAACCTACACTCATCATTAACTTCAGTAACCTACTCTGAAAAAAAGAAAACATAAAATACAACTATTTTCTAAGTGTCTGTGTAGAAAAAAGGAAAAAAAAGGAGGGGGGGGGGGGGGGGGGGAACACTACATTCAAGAACTGCCAATTATCATTAGTAGGAACTACAAACCATCATGCTCTTTAATTTTCCTAGAAAGCAACTTACAAAATATTTAAGACTTGTGATAAGTTCTCCACAACTATGTTATCTGGAGACCTCAAATTTCTTACAAAACTTAGCAATTTAAAATATGAACAAGGTTGGACATTTGATACCCATGCCTTTCCTAAGACATGGTTTAAAAGAAAAAGAAAACAAGGATATTGTTGTATATGAAAACAAAATAGACAAGATAGAAGAATATCTGACAGTGGCCAAGCTCATTCAGAGTTTCTTTTTAACATGTCATAAACGTAGAATAAGTGGTTAAGGAGCCTTTTGCTCCACTTAATATGAGATCATCATGTCCTTTGTGTGTCTGTCATGTGCCATCGTATCGTACTTTTACTGCAGCGTCCAATGCTTTGGGAGATAGGGATACTTGGTAATTGAGCCCCATGCCCAGTCACCATCTTCACAAGTGCATCTATATATAATATCTAAGATAATGTGGTAATTGACGTTCCAGTGCAACGATAATGGGGAATATATTCCGATGGTAGCGAACCAAGGTAGACATCATATTTATATTTCCAGAACAGCTATCAGATATAAAACAACTCACATACATAGGATAACGTTAAATTTAATAATGGATGCTACGATAAAACTACAAAACCTTGAGTATGGTGTGAAGCCTCATTTCTCAATGTTTTATAATAAGGTGACCTGGATATTAATTAAGAGAAAGAGATAGGTCCACTACATAACTGTTTTATGAAGCCTCATTTCTCAATTCACTGAAAAACCTTTTGCATATTAAGTCTCTGATAATTAATTTTGGTTTAAAGATCCAAATGTTCTTTCCTTTTTATCCACAAGTGAATTAGCACATGTCCCAAAATGTATAGATGAACTAGATTTATTAATGAAGCATAGATGAATAGAGCACTTCACTTTAAGCACGGACAATAAAGAGCCAATTCACTAACCTGTCATTTTTTGCAGTTGCAATTGCTGCTACAACATCAGCAGACAAAGCATATATTGGACCATATGCATGCAAGAAATATTCATTTCCAATCAAGTGACCTGAACTTTCATACCTGAAGAAAATGTGATTTCATAAGTATTTAAGCAAAACAGGTTGCTGGCTTAGGCATTAATTTCAGCAATATAATCACGCAGTCCAGTCTCCAATGGAGACTTTATGTTACCATCTCATCTTTGGATCAGTGATGACGGGGCCCTTTTTCATACAACCAATGTAAGTGAGCCGGTGAGCCCGATCTTTGGCAAGAAGAGTTGCAAGTCGATCTATTTAGAAAATGGAGATATCAGATACTGAACCTTACAATCTTGACCTAATTATTCTTTTTTGAGGTTTTACCTGGCCGCATATAAATATCATCATCAGCTTTGACATAAAATTCAGCATCAAAAAGTCTGTAGGCTGCTTTGAAAAATGCCAACCTAAGATGTACACACAAGAAATCACACTTGAGCTTCTAACCTATTAAAGCAAGAAAACAACTCTACAGACCTTCAATCTTACGTTTTATAAGGCAGCTTTATATATTCTTCTTCGATGTCAAGCAGCATGAAATCATGGTATTTCTCCTCTTCTTTCTTAAGTTCTGACATTTTCTTAGCATCTCTTGTTCTTCCAATCACAAATCTAAAAGCTAATCCAGTAGCATGTTCCAGACTGCAAAAATTAGGAAACAGCAACACATTTTGATATTTATGTGCATGCAAGGAACATGTAATTTTACCATTTACATAACCATTTACTGTCTACAACTCTCACATTCAGTAATAATAACTCAACCATTACTCTTGATTTTGGAAACAAAAGATTGCTACATCCCAGATAAAAATTTCTCTTTCAAGTATAAAATAATTAAGTTGGCAAGTTCACATATATATATGACTATCGGTATACAGTCAATGTAAATTATACTACTCGAATATACTCAAGTTGTGAATTGCCAAAGGTCGATACGTCCGTTCATGTCACCATAGCAGGTCACACGTAAATAGCTTCATACCTCATCAAGAACAATGTACCCACTTCTGTTAATATCCCATTGACTCTGGGTCTCTAGTGCTCAATTGGATTGGCTTGAATTATGTGTAGTACTATAGTTAAGTAAGATTGAATAGATAACTGTTAGTAGTTGTAGTTTCTCTGTTGATACTTCTTCTAAAGATAATTCCAGTCAGAAACGAAGCATTAATCCTTGGCATCTTGCAAGATAAAATTACATAAAACAATTCAACTGAGTAAGCAGAAAGTTGAAATATAAATATACAGTATATAAAATATAAATAATTTTACTTGTAACTACTCTTAAGTCCAAGCTTACTCTGTGCTCTGTTAGTTCAGGTGTTGGCATTGCAGCCCAGGAGAAGGAAGCAAGGAAATGTAAAAGCCTGAGAAAGGAATGATTGCTCTACCAGCAATATTGATTTAAATATGCCTTTTTTCAGTCTCCAATTTGCAACGTTCATATGCATATTCAAGTAGTACACTCACAAAGGAAATGAACATTTTTTAGTGTTAAATCTTTTGGATAATACTTTCCAGTTCAGGCATTTCCTTGGTTCATTCAAATAACCTTTAAAATTTAGATTTGTATGTTTATACTTATACCAAAAATACCAGCTTTAATTTTCATCATAGAGGTGTACTATTGATCTTGAGTGTTCTAGTTCCTCTAGCGGTAATCTGCATAGAATTGCAATTTGTTCAATTCACTAGCATTTAAAGGTTTGCAAATGTTCTCAAATACCTATATTATCCATCGATTTGTGTCCAACTATATAGATCTCTAGCTAATAAAGTGAGCAGAAAATCTTCCACTTTCTTGATACTTTATGTCTTCTAGGACTTTCTCAATTCCAAAAGAGCTTAGTTAACTTATAATAACTCTCGTAATCATCATTAATTAACCATATGAAGAAACATGAAATGCAAATCACAATTAAGAACTAACCATTCAAAACTACTTTAATAAACTATATTCATTGAGATTTCCATCTTTGTAGTTTCTCCCCTCAAGACTGACTCTCATAGGGATGCAAAAGGATACCAATACTTGCTAAACTAATCCGCACTCTTAAAAAATGCGAATATTAGTACTAAATATTTATATTCGACAGTATATGGATAAAGATATCAACGTCTTTTTTAGCTTTTGATGGGATGCATATATAATTACGTATATAAACATTTGGTTTAGTGTGTGTGTGTGTGTAGATTAAACAGTTTAAATCAACTGACTTTACATCGTGGATTTGAAACCATTTTGGTGATCCGAAAATCAAATCTTAGCTTGATATGCCAAACACATTGATTACTCTGACTTGAAGACACTGGTCTACTTAAAGTTTAAACAGTTCTGCATCACATGGCTTATATGTTTTTTTCCAAAGTTCTCCATGTTTTTTAATATCCGTATTGTCTCCGTATATGCATCTGATCATATTCATAATAATTTTGCAGATATGGACTATGAGTTTTTCTTACAGATTGTATCTCAATTTGTGTCTGTGTTCTTGATAGTAAATTGATAGAGATATGATAGGTATGATATCCGATCTGCTCACAACCCCTGGAATCTCTTCCTTGTCAACTAAAATGGAAACTAATTATCTGTTTCCGTATCCAATTGAATCCAATTTTCCAATAGGTCCTTAGATCAAGAGACATATAAATACAAGAAATAAATACACAAAATATTAAGGTTCATTCATCCCACATTCCTAAATGCGGAGTCATGTCTGGATTTATAAAAGTTTTTAGGGGCAAGTTCTTCTCTTAGTTCTCTAGCTCCACATTTCTGGCTGCGAGCGTCACAGGCGGTGATTTTGACATCAAAGGGCGGGGGTACACTGCTATTACAAATTCATATCAAGAAAGCCAATGTGCGTGGACAAATGATGGTACATTAAGGTCCATCAGTACGCATTTCAGTTTCTCTGGTGAGCTCTCTTTTAGGTCTCTAACAATAAAACTAATCAGGAATATGAGCTTCTTAATGCAAAAGCCGCTCCGCATAAATTCGGGTTCACACGTTCAGACTATATATAAACAGTAATAATCCGCAAGAGCAACGGATTCCACAAAACAAGAACAGATCTTACTCCCATACTTTACCAACCCGTCAGACCCGAGGGAAGCCAAGTGCTACTCAACGCCGCCCTCCGATCCGCCGAAATCCAAACCCGTATTAAACCCCAACAAACGCCTAGCAGCCTCTTCCGCCTACCATCGCCACCGCCGAATCTGACAGAAGTCCCTCAGCGTGTCCTCGGATCGGCCGCATCCGGTAGACGGTGCGGTCCTCGGCGGCGTCCGGAGGACGGATGCCGAGAAGACGTTCGACACGCCGGAAGAACGCCGACCAAGAGGAGGGGAAGGCAGACGATGGCAAGGACGTAAAATGGCGAGGCTGGCGGAATGAAGGGGGAGCGAAGGGGCGGGATTTCATGAGCTTGTCGTCTTTTAGAGTAGAGGGAGGGGAGGGGAGAGCGAGATGCGGCCGGGGGGCATTTCCGCCAGGCGTTTTTGTTTTTTTTTTTTTTTTTTTGGGGAGCTGGGGGCTGGGGAGATCGGCTGAGAATCGGAGATCTGTTGAGTCTCATGTGAGGAGTCGGCTGTCTTTGGAGGGAGGGGGAGAGTGTGTGTGTTCGTTCGTTTGTTGAGGGAGGTAGAGGATTCGATCCTTGGCGAACACGGCCGCTGCCGACAGAGACAGCCGTTCCGTACTTCAAAATTCTACCAGGAGAATTTCAGCATCGTTTCATTAACATTGTTTGTTTTGTGTTAAAAAAATTAAGAGATCAACAGTACCCCCTAAAAACTCTACAATAGTATCGCACGAAACATAATCGGAACAAGGGACAAATTTTCAAAAGAGATCCCTTTGTGAACTTAATCCCAAAAAACAATCTCATTCAAACAAGATTTCAAAAACCGACCTGGTTTCGGCCTCAGCGCTGAAACCAGGTCGGTTTTTGAAAAAAAATTCTGAAACTTCACTGGAGTTGAACTCCCGTGAAGTTTAGTAGATCTGCTAAACTTCACGGAAATTCAACTCCCGTGAAGTTTCATAGTTCAAAAATTTTTTTGAACTATGAAACTTCACGGGAGTTAAACTCCCGTTAAGTTTAGCAGATCTACTAAACTTCACGGGAGTTCAACTCCCGTGAAGTTTCAGAATTTTTTTTCAAAAACCGACCTGGTTTCAGCGCTGAGGCTAAAACCATGTCGGTTTTTAAAATTTTGTTTGAATGAGATTGTTTTTTGGGAATAAAAGTCTAAATGGGTCTCTTTTGAAAATTTGTCCTCGGAACAAGAGCTCGTCCCGCGTGCAAAGCACGCGAGATACAGCTGTAACGAAACCTAGAAGGGTATGGAAGTGATATGAGACTGAACCTTCAGGGTGTTAAAACGTTAACAAGGACTTAGGGAGGGGCATTGAAGTTTAAAATTTTATAATAAACGTCGGGTCAGATGTAACCGCATCAAAAGATCTAATATCAGCACATGCTACGTTACGCCCTAAAAGAAAAAGCTTAGGAGGAGGACCAGCCCCCGCGCGGATAGAGCAACAACTTACCAATCAATCCGAAACGCCCGCTAAAAGATCACGAAAACAAAATATTAATTAAACAAAGATAGGTTCACGACTTCTTTCCTCACAAATCCGGGATCACACAAGTTGAAAGCACTCACGGTACATCGTTCTCCAGCGATAAGTTCACCTAATTCATACGCCCTCCAATGAACTTACTACGATACACACTACAAAACTTGCAAAGATTTCCCCAAAGTTTGATGAGATTATTCAAAAGAAAACATTAAACACCAGAAGGGCATATAAATACCAAATCCATAAAAAGGACCTCATCAATCCCTCACAGGAGATCAGCAACATTAGACGGCAACTCCTCAACCACCACATTGTAAAACTTCTGGATATCAAACAGCATCCTCTCATCATCACGCGTAACAAAATTAATCGCAACTCCCTTTCTCCCAAACCGCCCACTTCGTCCGATACGGTGAAGATAATTCTCTGGCTGAGTCGGCAAATCGTAGTTAATAACCAACGAGACTTGCTGAACATCGATTCCACGAGCAAGGAGGTCAGTTGTGATGAGAACACGAGAAGAGCCTGATCGAAACTCCCTCATAATAATGTCCCTAGTGTTTTGGTCCATGTCACCATGAGTTGCTGAAACTGTGTGATCTCTGCTCCTCATTTTGTCGGTGAGCCAATCAACCTTGCGTCTAGTGTTGACAAATATGACACTTTGAGTGATGGCTAAGGTTTCGTAAAGGTCGCAGAGGGTTTCTAGCTTCCACTCTTCTTTTTCGACGTTGACGTAGAATTGCTTGATACCCTCGAGAGTAAGCTCGTCTCGCTTCACGAGGATACGAACGGGTTTGTTCATAAATTTGCGAGTGATCTCAAGGGCCTCAGGGGGCATGGTTGCAGAGAAAACTCCAACCTGTACTTTTGAAGGAAGAAGCTGGAAGATATCGTAGATCTGAAATTCGGGAGGTTCATAGTTTAATCACGAGAATGAAAAATAAGCATCACTAATAATGATTGCAATGTATGGTAAATTTTATGCAGATATTTCTAATGAAATTAGGATTAAAGCTTCGCACACCATACAAAGAGAGGGAGAATCTAGTTTCTTTAGGACAGTTATGAAATAGCAAAAAAGAACCATGACCGCATGGGTAAAAGATTTATTGATGTTAGGTTCTCCAGAGAAGATGAAATGCTACAAAAGAATGCAAGTATTACTAGAATGTACTCAAATGTAAATGCTAATGCAGCTTTTAGGTTAGACTAAGCCTACAAAAGCTTGCTAGCGCCTGGTCCATTGCCTGCCCTATTTCAAGATCTCAACATGCATAGTATGAATTATATGATCAGCTTGGTAGTATTTGGTGACTTTGGTCTTAAAAGTTTTTGTTATGCTTATGAACCTTTAAAATTTTTATCAAATATTTTTTTGAAAGTAACACCTAATGCACCTCAGACGTGAGATAGTCTTCCTTCCTTTGTTTATATGTGAAAATTTCAAAACCTGTGGATGTCACCTATCGCAACCCCCCCCCCCCCCCAAAAAAAAAAAAAAAACCGCTTCTTTTCTCCTTGAGTCAAAATGAAATGGTCGCATAAATGTTTGGCCATAAGCCATGAAAATCAACAAGGCAGTGCATGAGAATTCTCCATTGAAAAATGATAATAGAAAGCTGATGAAGACAACAAACTAACCAAAAAAATATAAATAAAAAAAAGGAAAAAGAAAAGAAGAAGAAGCTGATGCAGACCAGCAAAACAGCAAACAGATATCATTTACTTCCAACAAAAAATTTCTTAAATTAGTAAATCACAATTTATTCTTAATTGAAAATCTTACGATTTCATATTATCAATAAATTCTGAATTACTGGTTAAGCAAACCATGGTAAAAATAAAATTAAATTTAGAGATTCATAATTCTTCGTAAATTAGTAAAGAAGCGCATGTTTATTGAGCATCCATGAAAACTACAAGATACAAATAACAGACAGAATAATAAACAGAATACACACTGATGGGGATTTATCTATATGTCTGTGGAAACTTATGTAGAATAATAAACAGAATACACACTGATGGGGATTTATCTATATGTCTGTGGAAACTTATGTAGAATAATAAACAGAATACACACTGATGTGGATTTATCTGTATGTCAGTGGAAACATCAATTTTATAATCACACAAGGTGTGCGACTTCTCATTCATAAATGTTTAAGGTCGTAAAAGGCGATAAATAGTTTGAGCCATTTATTTGGATTGTGAGATGAGCAACATAGCGCTTTTAGAACACTGGCACAAGTAGAAAAATCGGCTAGAGGCTCTGAAGACTTTCTGCAATGTATAGATATATGAGGGCATGTACCAATAGACATCATCTTTGAACAAACTGAAATCAACTCATAAAGAACAACAGGCCAAAACCAAAATTGGATTTGCAACAAAGGAACCTGATTGTTGAACAGCAAAGAGACCAATTTGTTTGCTCCATCAAACACAAACATCTTGAGGCATGGATGCACACTATGTTACCCAGGTACTTCTATAATGAAGCCGTACCCATACCCGACACTTTCCTGTACCCAAACTTCATGAAGACTTCTTGAATATATGCATGCATTTATTACAACATGTACTCAATTATACAATATAAATGTTAATTTAAAACACTCGTCAAACACTTCTTGGATGTATAGCTTGCACTACACCCGTTTCTTGAAACTTGTTAGACATAGATCAGCTTTGTTTCAGTCCATAACCAAGTTCAAAACTATATAGTCAAATGGTCGTTTGGATGTCTCGCAAAAAAGAATGAGTGGTTTCCAAATTATGATAATCAATATGATAAAAGAAACTTAAAAATGTGATCAAAATTCTAATTTTAATGATACATGAAGCCGAAAAAATGATCTCATGTACATTATTAATTATATATATATATATATATATATATATATATATATATATATTAAGGGCCGTGTCCCTTGTACCATACATTTTTAGCAATTTTGACATGTCCCGTACCCCGCACCCGTACCGGTACCGTTTGTTTCCATGCAACTTCGGATGTACATGTGGCATGCACGGACAGATCCAGGATTTTTTTTTCTTAACAAAGGCGCATATATATATATTATATATATATATATATATAATATAAATATATATATATATATATATATTATAATATATATATATTATATATATATATATATCAATATATAATATATATATATAATCATATATATTAATTAATAACATAAGTAATAATGATTTTACCAACAAAAAAGCTTATTTATACGACGATCACATAGATCATAACACATATTTACTATCATCATTTTCATATCGTACACTGCTGCTTTTTATTTTTCATCACCAAAACTAACAAAATACGACTGAGTTCCAACAATAATCCTTCACGGTTACTATCTATGTGGGGGCGGCACTAAGTAAATATTGTATGGGGGCACCCATTGAGTTGCAGGTGCACTCTTATAATTTTACAATTTGTATGAGCGCACATGCTTCCCACTCTGTTCCATGTGCATCTGTTCTTGTGCGCACGTGTGGTAACTTGCCAACTCATATAATTTTACGCGAATTGAAATTAAACTACAAAGAAAAACAGGACAATGAAAAATAGGCTAATAAAAAGTAAGAACCTGATCTTTGAAACCACGTGAAAGCATTTCGTCAGCCTCATCCAGTACAAACATCTTGATGTAGTCGGGGCGGAGAGATTGCCTCCTCAGCATGTCAAACACACGACCTGGAGTACCGACAACTACATGAACTCCACTAGAAAGAATCCTCTGGTCCTCGCGAACGCTAGTTCCTCCAACACAAGCATGAACTTTCACGCCAAGGTAATCACCAAGTGCTCTCATGACCTTTTCAATTTGCTGGGCAAGTTCTCGAGTTGGGGCAAGAACTAAAGCCTGGCATTCAACCACGCCATAATCAAGCTGCTGCAAAATTCCAGAACAGAATGTAGCAGTTTTCCCTGTCCCTGATTGTGCCTGTTGGATGACATCAAGTCCCTTGCAGAAAGGAACAATTCCTCTCTGTTGAATTGCGGACGGTTTTTCGAACCCTGCAGAATTTTTCATTATTAACATATAAGAGGCAGCCCTCAAAATACGGTGCTACTAGAATCATGAACTATCTACATAATTGCAGGTTAAATGTGTTAAAAATAATGACTATACCATAAGCATATATTCCTCTCAACAGGTTTTCTTGAAGACCCATGGAGTCAAAGCTATCATAGACCTCATCATATGAAGTAAAAAAATCCTGCCCGTCTGATGTAAGCCTATATTTCAATATAGAAAAAACCAAAAACAAGTGTAAGCTACAAAATTACATATAATGAAAATGTGATGAAATGTGTTAGTAAGAAGGCAATAATGTAAAAGGAAGATAATTACAGGTCATTCATTTTGGCATCATACTGACGAGCATCAAATTGAGATCCTTCTGCTGCCATTCCCGCCATTTTCTGCAAGTGCATTTCGGACAAAACAAAACATGTTCAAGTAGGCAAAGATGTCAACAAAATGTGACACGACAGATTTTGAGAATTCATAACACAAAAATCGGCAAAAGTCTTATCATCAGTTTTTCAACAGTTCACTCAAGATGGGGTCAGTTATGGGACACAACTCTAGGTCCAGACGGCTCCACTGAACCTATTACAAATGTTCAACTAAAACAAGGAGAAATTTAAGATAACAGAAACAGAAGGAAAAAAAGATCAAAGCTTGATCATCATTATCTCAGGTTTTTGCCGTCAAGATGTAGTCAGTTATTGCTCTCAACTTGATACATATCTAAAATTTACTCCATAGGGATGTTCTCTATAAAGCACTTGATGGAAGAGATAAATTATTGCAACTTTTCTAATTTATAGTACAGATGAAACTTTATTTATAGCAAACCCTCTAATCAATCATACAATCAAACCCAACTTATATGGTTAAACAATCCTAATATAGTGGTAAAATAAATCTAGACAATCTATTAGTCATTATTCCTTATACTACATGCTGGAGCGTAGATGTCAACAAAGCCAAGCTTGGGGAGAAACTGAAGAAACACAGGACAAGACACCTTTTGGCAAGATGTCAGTTAAATGAGTGGCCGTAGAAACATGCTATAAACAAACTTCATAGTATACAAAGTACTACATGAGAAGAAAAGGATGACGAGTCTGCTTGGAAGAAAAGGCTGACGAGAGCGTGCATGAAAGAAGGCTCACAAGGTTGCATCCGAAGAGGTCGACGGGACGGCATGCAAGAAGAAGAGGTCGACAGATCAGCACAAAGAAGATAAGCTCAACAAGACTGTGCGTGAGAAAGGATGCCGACAAAATTGTGTGCTAGAGGAGCCCAACAAGGCTCCATGAAAGAACAGGAGACTAGAGAGTCTTCATGCAAGAAGAAGACCAAGACGAAATTGCACACAAGAGGTAGACAATGATTGAAGGCAGGAACGAGATTGAAGGTCAAAGGATTTGATTTGGAGATGACGGGAACAATAATATAGCAGTAAGACACAGTTCCAATTTGAAATCGGATGGGGATGGTAGGCAAAGTTTCAATTTAAAATCATATGAGGAGGATTGTAGCCTTTACTTGAGAACAAAGGTGGAAGATACCAATGGTACAAGAGAGGTTGAGAGGAGGGACAAGAGGCCCTAAAGGAGAGCAAGAAGAAGCTGTCGAGGGGAAAGCACACAGATAGTGCTCGAGGCGTGGCCTCTCAGAGGCCCCAACATTTAGAGTTTAAAAGAGGTTCCATGGTTAGAGAACTTGCTCTAATACGATAATGGAAGAGATGAACTAGTGTATTTCTTATTTCTTTCAAAATACAAATGAAATCATATTTATACAATAATGCATGTTTATGGCATTACCCGCCAATCAATCCTAAAACCAACTTCCAAGTTCCAATTATATGCAAATATTACTAATGCAGTCATAAAATGAATCTAGGTAATCATTTATTCATCATTCATTACAGCCTGCAAAGTGGATTTGCTTGCAGGATTTACATCACCGGTCACTAAGCTCATGACACAAGAGGTAACAATAAGCTTAGTAAATTACTAATACGAAAAGAATAAAATGCTTTGCTTGGGAACAACTTTTACTACATTTAAACCAGACAACAATTCGATGTGTTATATACGTTTCAATAGAGAAACCAAATAGAAAGAAGCTAACATAAGAGATGAAAGGATATGTGCATAAAGCAATATGAAATAGTTAACAATGGACAACATAAGCAGTCAGAAATAAATATGGCAACCACAATCCCAGATCAGATACATTTCAATAGAGAAGCAAAACAGAAACGACAACATGTACTAAACATTATAGATCAACAAAAAGGCTATGTGTAAGAAGATAATAAGGAAGATAACATCGTACCAAATAGGCTATGAGAAGAAACGAAATCCAGAAAATAGAAATGATGAACCTTGTTTAAGGAGGTTGGAACTTTAGATGCATATGTAGAATTACTAAAGGAATGAAATACAGGTCGAGGGTTTCCTGATCTTGCTTTGTGGAGTTTGCTTCATGTCATATTTATATATCATCAGAAAAAATAAGTAAATATTATCAACCTAAATGTGGAATCACAAGGTTAAATCACAAACTTGAAGTCAATTATGTTCTGGAACATCAGGATATCAACAGCTGGAACAGGTTGCGGTATGAGTTTTCCATCTAGAAACACTTTCTAACATAGAGCCAGTATAGATCATCTACTGAAATAGTTCAACCTAATGTTTTTGGCACAGTAGTGCTAGAAACTTTCCAACTGAGCTGCTTATACCCATCACCCAAGAAAATTAAAAAGATAGGCTAGAGATCTAGAACAGGAAGTTCAATCGACCTTTAAAACCAAGTGAACTGTTTACATCTATTCTTTTCCATCTTTAATAACACAATAGTGTGAGAAAACTTTCCAATGCAAACAGGGTTGCAATCTGCTAATAATAAAAAGAATCAGAATCTAATAACTAATAACAAAATGAAATAACTACCTATCCCCTCAACCAACCAACCCCCTCAGCAAGGGGAAAACAGATGTGTGCTTTGGATCGGCTCAAAATCCAGCGTAGCTAAATTGCACAATTTCATCCCATAGTTAAAAAGGCGCAAACTTTCTAAATGTAATTCAATTCAGTTATTTCATAAGTTAAAGAGTGTAAATTGCTCACAGAATACATTTATTTAAGTAACATCCGTAAATTTCACATATTCAAGCCAATAACAATCAGAAAGTTGCCAATGCGATCTAGATATAGTGATTTACAATATTAGATATATGAAATCAACAAACTAACAACTTCTGTTTATCTATTCCACATATTTCTAGCAGTACTGGGCCCAAAATATATGGTTGGTCATTTCAGTAGATGATCCACTAGCTCTAGACTATAAACGTTTGTAGCTGAAAAGACTTAGCTTGAGCAACCTATAAACTGTTCAAATCAAACTAGCAATTAAACTGATTACATCAGATTAGATTAATGGAAGAACTACAAAAATGGGCTATCTAACTATTCAAAAAAATAACGGAGGAATTTGGGGATTGAACTAACAAAAAATGATTTCATCCGCTGATATCAAATAAAGAGAATCATTAATCAAGAAAATTAATCAAATTATCTGGAAGACTCCACAGTTGAGTGGCGTAAATATAAAAGTCCCAGATCAAATAACAGCAGATGATTGTTCTTTTGGAGACCCGATTCTGGGGTTTAGATTCCAGCCCCCTAATGTTGATTCTGTGGCCTACTGCCTTCAAAATAGGGCCACCAGAAGAAACAAACATACCCAACTATTTAATCCAAGGCTTCGACATTTACTATATTGAACCATGTAATCTTTCAAGGTAATCGATTAGTTTCTTTATTAATGACTTTTTTATTTTATATCAATCCAATGGAATGATATCATTTATTAATTAGTTCCCCAAAATTTTTTCTTGTTTCTTTAATGATATTTGATAAGTACTATTGTTGATTTGATCTGAACAGATTATGTTGCAACAAGATTTTTCATCTAGAAAATTTCTAATGCAGATCAATTGGGGGTTATCTACAGACATGATAAACCGTCTATTTAGAGGGCTAAAAGCTTTCCAGCCAAGCTATTCAGATCCGATCCCATATGATAGGCTAGAAATCTAGATAGAAGTTCGATGAGGTTTAGATCAGGCCATTTAGTATCTCAATCATAGTCCAATCCTTAACAAAAGTAATGACTCCTTTTACTTAAGCAACCAAACCCCACCCCACCCACCCCCACCCCCAAAAAAAAGAATTTCTCAGGAAGGTACAAAAATTCATGAATAAGAATGTGGCGACAGCGGGGTAGGCTGAGTACGTGTTTCATAGGTTAGGTTTTGCAATTCAGAAAGGATTAGCGATGCAGCTTGTTGCCCGCTTGTCATCAACACGTGTAATTTTTTTCAAATTTTGAAAATGAAACATTGTTGGGTTCAAAAGAAAAAGATAATTAGTAATATGAAGAAGGATTAAGAAAGAAACATGTGCACCGGTATTAAGAAAGAAACATGTGCACCGGGTTGATTTGACACCGGAAAGTCCAGTGTAGCGTTGCATGCCCCAGTATAGAATACTCAAACGTTCTTAATATATTTCAATAAATAAAATTCAACAAGATGAACAGACATAAATTTCACACTCAATCCACTAACAATCAAAGAAGTTATCAACGTGTCTTACATATACCCTATAAGACATAACGATCAACGAATTATGTGCGAATCACAAACTTCTAAGTATTTCTATCCCAGTCTTCTATACGAGTTGCATAAAAGCAGGGGCTTTGAATCCCCAGTTTCAAATCAGTATCCTTAGAACTAATGAAATAAACTGGGGGGATTTTTGATCAATCAACCCCAAAATAAACTTTAAAAGCGAAGATCACCGGATCTGGCCGCAGAATCGCCGAAAACTGAGACCAGAAAGGGGAAGAGAAACCCTAGAGACTATCTAATGATTAATGGATTCGAAACCCTAATTACAAATAACAAGATCCATCGACTCGAAACCCTAGTTCCAAATTTTGTGTAAAAATCAGAGATCGAGTGAGGATCTGCGTACCTTAGTTGTTAAACGAGGGATAGAAATCGAGGATTGAAGCTGAGAACGAGCAGATCGATCGATGGATTCCTCTTCAACAAAAAGAGGACGATGTTTTTTTAGAGAGAGACAAGACTCGGGAGGTCTTTTATATATATATATATATATAATCTATAATAATATATATATATTATATATATTTCCAAAGCAGTTGAAAGTGATAAAAGACTTATCTGTTTGGTCCTTTTATATAAAAGTTTTAAGCATGAGTAGGGATTCTTTTTGCATAATCTCCCTAACGAAAGGAAAGTCTTTAGCACAATAATAAATAATTCATAAAATTCAACGATTATTATAAGTTTTGTGGTCTTAAATGTGAATTAATCATAACAAAAAAATTCAGATACCAAGATGAAAATAAATATCCAACCACACATAATAATTTTGAGGTACTTTCACTTTTTTTTCCCTAGAGGTAGGTTGTTTAGACATGATTACCCCCTTTTTTTGCAATACCATATTTTGGCTGGTGCAAAAGTTAGAATGTAATAACAAAATAACGTGAACTGAAGTTTGAAAAACATTTTACTTTCAGATATCAAGATTTTAATTTCTAAAAAAACAATTTTTCTCTCCATTGTTATGGAAAAAAAACTTGAAGCTTTCTTCGAAAGTAGTAGCCAAGTATTCTTTAGATTACGAGGAATCACGACAGAAAAACCCAAAAGAAATAGAAGTAAGGAAAACATAACTATGGGGTAGACATTTATATTCCGATGGCAAATAAAAAAGATATTATAAATATATATGTAAATAAAACTATTTCTGACAAAATCATGAGATATTCATAAAAATCTCAGGTACCTTCATATCTAAGTAATAGTTGCTTGCTAACGTTTTAAGGTATGTATAGATAGCACATTACCCCCTCATTTACACAATGAGTTGCACTAAACCCAACCTCCTCCCCCCAAACTCATTTTCTAGAATTTATCACCCTTTAAAATGAGATATTTAGACAGATAAAATGTAAATAACATCCCTCTTTCTCATGAATCGAGGAGGAATAAGTGCTATAACTAAGTCAAGGGATGTATAGCAAATTTTAGAAAGATAAATCACAAGTAACAATCCTAATTTTCATGAACTAAGGGGGCTAAGTGCTAAAATGAGCAGAGAGGGTTTAGTGCACCTTAAGGTACAGATGAGTGGGGTTGTATGTTATTAGAGGTAATAAGCTTCGGTGATTTTTTGCAGTGATTTTTGCATAATGAGCAACAAATAATGTTTGAAAGAACCCGAGAATTCTTTTGTTGCACAGAAAACCTTTCTTTCTATATGCGATTTTTTGCAAGAAAATCTCCCCAAATTTCATAAGCTAAGAAGAGTTTATTAAGAGATTGAATTTATTTTCTCAACGATCTATAGCTAATAAAGAGGCACAATATCAGAAGGGCCTATTTGAAAATAAAATACAACTTCCCACCCCTTTGACATGCTTGTGCACAACTAATTTGCCCTTGGAAAGACATGGATGCATGCTTATGGTGTAGATATGAGCATGTATGTATATATGCCAAATCTTGAGTACGTATGTACAGCTACACTACTCAAATATTCTCATTGTGACCAAGAGATTCTTGCCACAAATTGTCTGGTGTATCTGCATAAAAATAAATTTGTATTTTCTTTAATTCTTATGTTCTTAATTTGCATCATTAACTAAACAGTGATTTTAGTTTTATGCAAATATATAAATATAACTTTCATTGTAGTCTAATATTTTACATCACGATTGGACTGGAATCTACTCACAAGATCAACTGTTTCTAAAACGGTCAATATTCTTTTTAATTTAAGGACTCATTTCCTTTTAGGGGGTGTTTGGTTCAATTTCTAGAAATTATAGGAAATGTTTTTCACCCAAAATATGATTTCCTTGTATTTCTTAAAAAAAATTATAGGAAAAGTTTTGAGAAGTTAAAAAGTACCAATTTTCTTATTTTTTGTATTTTGCTTGTTTGGTTTAAAACAAGAAAATGGCTTATAACTTTATAGAAAATGGGTATGGAACGAGTTTTGTTGATTAAATAAGGAATGTGTCAGATTTCCTGTTGATTTCCTCTCATTTTGAGAGGAAATTGTTTTTTGTAAAATTTGTTAGTTTTTGATATTTTATAGAAAATATTTCTATAAATTTTTTTGTTGAACCAAACACAATCTACAGAAATCTATGAAAAACTTTTAATTACAAAATTACCATTGTCAGATATTTTGAGAAAAGTTTTCTCAAAAAGAGTGCAACCAAACAGCCCCTTAGAGTGAAAATCTATATCTTATAGGAATCAATCATTTATTACAATCTTACAAGTTGAACATTCTATGGATCTTATCCATACAAGTAGGTTATGATGATCATATACATCTTTCTCTCTATCTCTATAGAGTTTGAGGTCCAATATTTAAAATGTCTAAACAAGACCATTTGTAAAGAACTTGTTAGAAAGCCATACTTTTAATCGTGATATTAAAATATCATTCTCAATGAGTAATATGCCATTAACGTGTAACACTAAGAATGTAATGAAATTATTTTTACTATTTTAAATACATACAAGCTTCGTAATGATTTGATCAAAATCAATTTCCTTAATTGTTTTATCAAAATAAATGTTTCAACTATTGAAGCTTGTTCAAGTACATAACTTGATTGATTCAATTCATCAATCTTCTTGAATTTTACATACTTGATTTCTAATCTCTATACGTAAATATTTTCTTTAAGATATCCATTTAAAAAGGTTATTTTGAAATTCATTTATCAATATCTTTTATTCTTAATAAGCTGAAATAGCTAAATGGATCCTTATGAATTTTAGTGTTACAATTGGAGAAAATGTTTCCTCATAATTAAAAATCATTTGCCATCAAATATGACATAATTCATATACAAGAAATCACGTCCAACATGACCTTTGTATAAGTTTTAGGATTTTTATTCCCCTTGTTATTTTTCATCAAATGGTTTTAACAAAGTTACCGTACTATACACGTGGATAAAAATCCTATTTGATCTCCTAATTGTAATAAATGTATTCAACAATAAATTTTATAAGTAAATCTCCATTTACTTTATTACTTGAAGCTTCTACTGAATTCATAGAATCTCCAACAATATTAAAAGTTTCTCCCACTGGATTACTACTGGATTTAGACTCTTTGGCGACGGATAAATCCGTCATTAAAGGTCGAAAAATCATCACTATATCTTTTAGCAACGGAAAAAAAAAATTTCATCGCTAAATAACCGTCGGTGCATTAAGGGTCCCTAATTGGACTTTTGGCGACAGAAATGCCGTCGCTAAAGGTCAACGACGGCTATTTGGCGACGAATTTTTCGTCGATCTATTTAAAAAAACAAAACGACATATAGCGACGGCCTATTGGCGACGACAAAGATTAGCGACGGACTTTTGTGTCCGTTTTCCGTCGCTAAAAAGTTTTTTAGCGACGGCTTATCCGTCGCTAAAAGTAACCCATATATATATATATTTTAAAAATGCTCTGAAAATTAAAAAAACCCTGTACAATAGCATAAACAATTTTAAACCATGTTCAATCAACAATATAACACATATAAACCCTGTTCAATCAACAATATCACGCATAAACTCTGTTCAATCAAATTAGGAGCCACCATATTTTCCAATTTTGATTTGAAGAGTGGCTACCATCAAATTAGGATTCATCCAGGGGATGAGTGAAAGACAATTTTTAAGACGAAAGATGGTCTATATGAGTGGATGGTTATGTCCTTTGGGTTAACAAATGCTCCCAGCACCTTCATGCGAATTATGACTCAGGTACTACGACCTTTTATGAGCAAATTTTTGGTCATTTACTTTGATGATATCTTAATTTATAGTAAGTCGCAGGAGCATCATATTGACCATCTTAGTTAAATCTGTCTTGTTGTGGGTCCAGCCCAAGATAAGGCACACATGAGGAGATCTACATGAATTAGAATTCTATCTATAAGAAGTCTACATAGATTAGAACTCTATTTAAAAGAGGATTTGGATGATCTATTTGAAATAGGAATATGTTTGGAAAATTCTATATAAGAAAGCTCTAAGATCAATTTTTATATGAATAATTTTTGGGTGAACAGTACTTTGGTGCTACAGTAACCGCGGGTTTGCTACAGTGCCACGAGGAGAGAGAAAAGAGAGATAAAAGTTCAGATTCCAGATAGCTCGGGTGTTTGATTGCAGTGATTCAAAAGCCGTTGTCTTTAGAACGATGACACCGTCGAGGGTACAGTGCTGATTTCTCCTCGGGAGTTGGAGATTGTTGATGAGACATGTTTTAGGGTTTTGGTACCCTAGAGGTAACACTGTATTTTTCTCTTATGATTTAATTCTCAAGTTCAGGTGTAACTTGGAGGGATTGTACTCTTAATTCATAGTGAAATATTTCTCTCTGGATTGCCCTGTGGATGTAGGCACGATTTGTTGAATATCATATCAATGTTGAATATCATATCTCCATGATATTATTTTGATGATAATAATTTATACAATGTGTGTTATACAAATGCACTAACTTTTATATGCAGATTTCAATATCAAAATATGAACAAGTGCAAGTTGAGTTCAAGGCATTATAAAGTGAAGAAGATGAAGAACATATGAGATAATGTATTTTACATCTTCTTTACTTAGAATTATTGTACAAGCATTGATCACTCACATACACACACACACATAAATATTAGAACACACTAACACAAGCTTAGTGTGTTGGTTAACTATAAAAATCTCTTATATTAACCATTAGAGTTATAGTTAATTATTGAGTATCAAAAACATTTAATTCTCATTTTTTTACTCTTAGTAGTCGACTAATTAGAATAGTAGTCGACTACTCATGTATATGACCTAAATATATGTTTCTGTCAATTTACAGTATAGTCGACTAATCTCATGTATATGACCTAAATATATGTTTCTGTCAATTTACAGTATAGTCGACTAATTTGGATAATAGTCGACTACTTAAGCTTAATATGTTTCTGTCAATTTACAGTATAGTCGACTAATTTGGATAATAGTCGACTACTTAAGCTTATGACAAAAATATAAGTTTCTGTTATT